ATACAGAGCCTTATCAGGTTTTCAAGACATCTCAAAGCGCTTCACAGAATATACTGTAAAGTATAGTGACTGTGTATTTTTTCGGCCAAACTGTTATCATTTGTCAGCAATACTAACCTGGGTATGCACCTTTTGATTGGTCTGGACTTTACACAATAACCAATTAGGTATAAAACCATTCTGTCAAAATCAGTGAGATGCAGATCTGATGACTCTGCCACGGATAGGGTTGGTCAAGACTTAATTCTCTGATAACCTGATTGCTCCCATTATCACTTGCCAGTAATGGGTCTTTGTTCTTTGTATAATCATTCACTGTAGAATGAAAAAGAAAACAATTGTGTAACATCCAAATTGGTGCATTATTTCATCATTACTTAAATAATAAAAGTAAAGCTTCCTTCCACATTTTATCATCTTTTCATCAATCTGACTCTTCCTGCACTATATATACTCAATGGCACGTTATTTGTCCCATACTCAGAAATACCTACGACATAATGGCATAAAACATTAGGCACAAGTTTCTTCTTCTGGGTTTGCTGGCATGCTATGAAGTGCTCAAGCTTTGTTCTTAAGAGTTTATAACATCATTAGCACTGATTAAATTATTATGTTCTAACTCACTGCCAGCTGCTTGTCTCTTTGTGAGTTGAATTTACTGGTGTTTCATAACATATTCCTTGTGATAATTATGAGTCAAATTTTGCCTGTGTATCATGTGCACAAGGTGGTTTTATTCCCTTAGTTTATGAAAATAGGTGTACATGTTGCAAAATCAGGATATATCAATTATTATTCTGTCGTTTTGCACCTTCAACAATCAAATGCTCATTGTGAGATTACACTCATTCATAACAAATCAAGGGAAGATTTCAGAACTGAGCCTAAAACCTTACTGAAATTTAACATTCACTTGTACTCTGGACTTTACTGAGTTACCAAAGAGCCAGAAAAACTTAACTATCGAAAAAGATTCCTCTGAATTATGTTATGAATATGTTTTCATTTTAGCTATATTAGTTTAGTAAACCTAATACTTAAACTACTCGTGGCTCATTCGTTGTTTTGTCTGGTTCCCAGCGCCTTGGGATGTCCTCCTGACATGAAAGGCGCTATCCAAATGTAATTTTATTGTTGCTGCTGTTGGTGATTCACAAACCGGGAAGGTATCAAACCTATCGAGACTCTGCATGTTTTTTTTCTTCATGTACCTCTGAATCCTATGATATAAATCCAACATACCTTTAGGTCCTAAATCAAGTGGGGTTACAAAAGGCAAAATACTGCAGATGGGGCTTCAGTAGTTTCATCTTCAAAAGACAAGAACATCAAATAGACATCACATTGCAACAGTAAGAACCTCTTTAACCATTTTTAAATTAAACTTTATTCAATAATTTCAGATGATAACAGCTCACCTCCCCCCTCCCATCTTCTGTGACTATTACTACATCATCTAGATCCCAGACACACCTTTTCTCTCTCTGAAACAAAAACAGAAATCGCGGGGAACGCTCAGCTGGTCAGGCAGCATCATAGCGACTTCTGCTTTTGTTTCAGATTTCCAGCATCTGCAGTATTTTGCCTTTCTTTTTCTCTCTCTGATCTGCCTGTTTTGTTGCAATTCCCACCCCACTTTGTTTTGCATCATTAACACCTCTTTAACCCATCATCCCCTGTCCTCTACCTCATATTTCTCCTTCATCTTCCCTGTTTCCCCCTCTCTGTTATCCCTTAAAAGCGTCTCCCTCCCAACATGCCCCAGTTCTGACGAAGAGTCGCGGTCCCGAAACGTTGACTCACTTTCCTTTCTCCATAATAATAATAATCCTTGCATTTGATACAGCGCTTTTCATGTCGGGAGGACGTCCCAAAGCGCTTCACAGAACACACTGTAAAGTGAATTGACTGTATATTTGTGGGCGAACGCGGCAGCCAATTGCGTACAGCAATGACCCACAAACAGTCAAAGATTGAAAATGACCAATTTATTATTGTTTGTTTTGGAGGGATTATTATTAGGCGTGTGGAGTAAGGAAACTTGCCCAAGGTTTCGCCCTGCCTGGAATTTAACTCAGGTCTCTCACTTGCAAAGTGAGTGCTCTAACCACTGAGCTACAGGACTCCACAAAATGCTGCCTGACCTGCTGAGTGGTCCCAGAGATTTCTGTTTTTGTTCAACATTAAACTTACAGGCTCGCTTAGGCACACTAGAAAAATAAGATGCCTCAAATTAAATGTCATGGTTCAAATAACCTGCACAAAATATTCTCACTGTTTATGATATTATGTGAAACCCCTCAATTAAATTGCAGGCTTTTAATTCACACAGAGGTTTCCATTATCTTCTTAATAAAAATAGAAATGGATCATAGTGTTACTTAACAGCATGCACAAAATACTAAGATATTAAACCTACTTTATGGGGGTTGGATATGAACACTGGCATCAGCCAGAAATGTTTGGCACATCTCATTAAGTCTGGTTTGCATGAATTTTCTGCATTTAGTACATTTCTAATCCTTTTGAATTTCATTGCACTGTTTATGCAGCTGTATTCAGTAATTGTTTGTTAGGTGCAAGACCCAGTGCTGAAACAGAACCGCTTCTAAATGCAGTCCATGATGAGCAGCTTGCCTATCCATACCCTTTAATTTGCACTTTATTTTAGAAAATATTTCCATGCCATAAATGACAAGGTTCTTGCCTCACTCTTTCAATATTTACATCTTCAATTGGAGCAAATCAGGTTAGGGGTTACTCCCATGAATAATGTATAATAGCTGTTGTAATCTACATTCCATTGCAATCCTTAAGGTATTGGCATATATACTGAAGCTCTCAATATACTAAGTACAATTAATTTCTCAGATATGAAGTGCAGTGAATCCTGTCATTTTATATTTGGTCAAATAATATGTTTGGCATTCAAAATAATGAAAAAAATATCTTTCAGTCTATCCTAGCTGCAGATGGCTGAAAATGCTTGAGAAGGGAGTGAGCATTTCTGAATTAGCCTCAAACAAAGGACAGACGGGGAATTCTGCCAATGTTTGTTATTGAACAGAAATATATTCTGACAATGAAATACGTATCGTGAAGATGAAAGGCAGCTGTGTTTCATGGGCAGTCTAATGAACATTGTTGTATGGAAGCACAAAATCATCAGCTGAAGATTCTCATTGAGCAAGTGGTGCTTTTTTCTCTCTTTAGATTTGTGAAACTATGAAATATGCTGATACAAACCATTCCAACATATTCTTGCAATTGACAAACCTGTACAATACCAGTACCAATAGTTCATACAAAAATGTTTGAAATGGAAGTTTAATGCGATCTAATTTTGAGGACCAGGATCCAGAAAGCTCACATGCATGCATTGTATAGTTGGCCAGCATTTCTAAAGAGGGATTAGAAAAAAGAAGCCAATATCTGGGCATAAAACCTGCATTTCACATCTGTGACAATTTTGCGGACAAATGAACAGCTGTACTATAAAGTCTTATTGTGAACTGAAGGCTGAGACCAATGGGGAAGCTAGAACCAGCATGGACATAATGGGCTGAATAGGTCCCGTTACTTCAACATGTAATGATTCTAGTAACATACCATCAATGAGTCACAGAGAGTACATATGCGGACAATCACTTAGCACAAACACTGCTGAGTCATGAGAACAATGCATCAGGCACTGCCATGAAATGTAATTTCTTTCTGGATTTTAGGGGATATGTCTGGCAAAACCAGGGAAATCCCTGGTAATCTTGGTCATTGTTAATCTTTAATGACAGTTCTAAATGGATGGGATGTAACTAGTTGGACAAATACTGTGGTGCTGACCAGTGCTTTGTAATTCATGGTTCTGGTGACGATTACCATGATGGACACCAACACATTCCTTTCCATTCCATCCCATTCTCTACATTATATTTGGTCCCAAAGATTTCTCTGTTCCGATAATGGTCCTGAAAAGGAGAGCAGAGTCTGACTTATATAGAATGGTATGGCATGGAAACAGGCCAATCAGTCCAACTAATCCATTCAGTACTATAATCTTATACTTGTAATGTTAATAACATCTCAAAGAAAGTCACAAGGATTTGTTATAGATAAATGTGGAAGCAATGTTGCCCCAGCAAAGTCTTACAAACAGCAGTGACCAACTTATCTAGAGGATTGTTGCTCAAGACACTGGAAGAAACTGTTTGAATTATGCCATATGATCTTTAATAACCTGAGTAGTTAGATGAAATCTTGGTTTAGTTTTTCATCTGAAATATTGTTTTATCATCTTAAAGATGGCACCTCCAATAATACAGTACTCACCCAGTACTGCATTGGAGTATCAGCCTGGACTAGGAGTTCAAATTCTGTTGTGAGGTTTGAAACTATAGCATTTTGATCTAGAAGCAAGAGTTATCAACTGAGCCAAATTGACACCTAATAGAATATTGACTTAACTAATGGTATATTGACTTAACTGTGAAGCAGCAATGAAATGCTCCAGGATCACCAAAGAATGGCACCAGTGTAGTGAGGTACAACATGTTGCCCAAATGTTTTGGAAATGAGCTTCAGAGCAAACAACAGAGGCAGTCTTTAGGTCTTTAGAAAGTTTCAAGCATTTTTAACCATCTTGATAGAAATTTCAAGACACTATTTGAAAAGAGAGGAGAATTTCTGGTCATGTCCCTGATAGGATTGTTGATTCACTTCATTGTTGTTTGTGGGACATTGCTGTGTGCAAAACTGGCTACTGTGTTTGCCTACAAAACACACAGGCATGACACTTTCACAGTAAAATCCAATGAGGCATTTGAGACCTCTCAACATGAAAGGCACTACATCAAATGCAAGGATTATTATTATTTTCTGTGGAGGTTTCAGCATTTCTGCTTAGATCGGAGGGAGCAATAAATCAGATCAACCATTCGCTGGTTCAGGTTTATGCAAGAGATTGAGTGAATGTGTAATTTATTTCTGTTCTGTTGTTTTAGTCAAGGAATTTGAAGATGAAGAGGAATACCTGGAAATCTTCATGATCAACCGATACCAAGCGGGCTTTTACGAGTGCAAAGCCGCCAATGAAGTGGCCTCTGCCGATGAGAAGAAAGTCCACATCACAGTTAACTGTAAGTTGTTTAGCAAAGTTTCTTTTTTTTTCCTAAACAGACAAGTGTCCTTTTCTTATAAGCTGTATTTGACTTATTTAGTGGCTGATGATCTGTATATTTCACACTTATAAAGATAGAAAATGTCCAGTTACATTTTCTGAAGAATTTTTAATCTTAACTCTCAAGTGTTGACAAATTACATTCCCCCCATGCTGTTGCTCCTTTCGATAAGCCCTCAAATCTACCAAAAACAGATAAACTTCTTAAAATTTCAATGTGAGGTGTAAACATTTAAACAAATTAAATATCCAGCAATTAATTTTATGAATTAAACCAGATATTATGCTGAATTAGCCAATCATGGGCAAGCAACAGTAAACCTCTTAAATCAGAGTTAGCGTTCCAAGATTAAGGAGGAGAGAAATCAGTCAGCGACCTGCTCCTGATCAATGTACTGCTCGAGTTGTGTGTGAGTGTTGTGTGAAAACAAGATTAAATTTGTTTGAGATGCCCTGCACAGTCTGATGGTCCATTGAAACTCACTATCAAGGGTCACATATTAGGAATAATTACTTGGGGCGAGCTACCATAAAGTGTTTGGTGCACGTGGAAGTCTAGCCTAGTGGAAAGAAAAATGCTTTCAGGGGAGAAAAGGAGATATCTGCTCCTGATATAGTAAATTCTAATTCCATGAACTAATGTACCATTTATTACTATTCATTTATTTTAATACAGAATTAACATTTTAACCACTCGTCCAAACCTATTAATTTGACTCAATGTAGAAAATATGAAAACCCACCATTTTTGACACTGGGGAACTGGTCAGTGGGATAGGAAAAGCCTACAGCAGTATAACTGAGGATCAGATGCATTAAGAAATCAGAGGTAAAATCATGAATAGCAGAGACAGCCTCACTCAGATGAATGGCAAGGTGGAGAACTGTCTGGAGCTCACCAAAACTGTACAGTCAGTCACCTCAGGGAGGCTGTCTCTGCTGTACTATGCTACTTAATGGAATTGACCTTCCCTTTATAAACCAGTGCAGAAAAGAGCGACTCACAAAACCTGTTTTCATTAGAAAAAGAACAGTAGGGCATGGTCAAGAATGCACCAATAAAAGCAATTAACACTGCAACACTGTTGATCTTTGTCAAGTCCTGTAAGTTCTTCAAAAAGTAAACTGGTTAAATTTCTGTTCTATTAATAGGAGAGACACTCTTGTAGGGGGAAAGATAGAGGCAGACTGAAATTAACAAATTAACTCAATGGGACATGATTGCTGTCTTGCTAACGGGGTCAGAGGTCTTGGAGAATTTAGAATTTTTGTTTCATTTTCATTTGAGATTCAGGGGATATGTATCTAAGCAGTAAATTCTGCCAAGAGTTGGTGTGGATAAGGTAACATTTATGGTAAAGGTAGATTTTGCATTGTTGGTGGAAAATAGAAGGAGATGTAATCTTAAAATTATAGCTAAACCAGTTCGAAGTCAGAAAACATTTAATCACACAAGAGACAGTGAACACTTGGGAATGTATTGCTCCAAAAGACCATAGAAGCAGAAAAATTGGGGATATTTACAAATGATATAGAAATTTGGGAAGTAAGGATATTAAGCATTATAGAAAAAAGGCAGGTTAGTAGGATTAAATGATCTGCCATAATTTAATAAACCTGCAGAACAGATTTAATGGGCTGAATGTCTTACTTTTCTGTTTCCATGCTCTTAACAATGCAGGGAGTTGCTGGAAATGATTTTAATTGTAAAATTAGACAGATTAAAAAGTCTACATCTCAAGAAATAATCTTGTGGCAGTTTGTTACGCTAACTGTTGTTGTTTAAGTACCAACTCCTGTGCCATTGCTGCCTTCTTGCTCCTCAATGCTCCTCAACATATTAACACTGTTAATTTGCTTTGAGTATGACATTATTATTCTTGTTATGCAAATATCTAGCTGAACTTCATCCCAGTACTATATACAGGCAAGAGTGTTTCATTTTTTGCAATCCCTCACTTTGTTTTGCATCATTAACACCTCTTTAACCCATCATCTCCTGTCCTCTACTCCATTTTCTCCTATGTCTTCCTTGCCCTGTCTCTCCCCTCTCTGTTAGCCCTTAAAAGCCTCTCCCTCCCAACATGCCCCAGTTCTAATGAAGGGTCATGGACCCAAAACTTTGACTCACTTTCCTTTTCACCATAGATACTGCCTGACCTGCTGAGTGTTCCCAGCGACTTCTGTTACTGTTACCACCCAAATAGAGTCAAATAAGTAACACTTTTCCATATTCAGTAAAATACACATAAATATGTTAATATTTTTGAACATTTTAACAGTTGGAGAAGACATCTGTCTACAAAAAAAATCAGAATAGGTATTAAGATATATAACAAATGAGATCAAAGGAACATAGAATATCAATGAAATATATACAAGTATGCAGAGTCAACAAGTACATTTGTCAGGAGTTTGCAGAATCAGTGCAAGATAATTACATTTTCAGATGACACAAAGCTTAGGGGGAATCAGATGACAGAATCATAGAAATTTTACAGCAGAGAAAGAGGCCATTTGCTCTATTATGTCTTTGCTGTGCTTTTACTCTATTTACAAAATGCAAGCTAAAAAATAGCTTGTTGAGTGGAATCATGCCAATAAAGTAAAATCGAGTGGTAGGGTCTGCGCTGGGGGAGGGGGAAGATTTATCTTTAAAATAACCTCAATTGTGTCAATCACCATGTTAGGAAATGTCTGTGAAACTGGCCAAATGACAGACCTGGATCTAATGCACCCCCAGCTATAAAAGCTGAGTCAAGACCGTCTTATAAGAAGTTCCTGTCCTGTTCCAAATCCACCAAAGTACTATTCCTTGAAACTAGAATATCTGAAGTGAGTCTGAAACGTCTTCAATTTCTAACCACACAGTTGTGGTTCAGGCCTGTAGCTCATTTTGGAGATTCTACCCCTTACAAACACATAATAATATAATAATAATCCTTTCATTTGATACAGCGCCTTATCACATCTTCGAGATGTCTCAAAACATATATTGAAGGACAAACAGATAACATTCTGTACAATGATGTTTTTGTTCTTTTTGAAATAAATAAAACCTCTTAGAAATATTGTTCAACACCAAAGGCAAGTTGAAGGCTGTTTTGACATGAAGGTTAAGATCAGCAAAGTGAGTTTTATAGCATGTAAAATAAAACACAATTGATACATTTCAGTTATTGGAAGAAGTAAGCAACACTGGCCATGCATCACTTTGCAACAGGCCTGAAAAGAATGAAAATAAGATTTAGTTGTTTTTAGTCATCAAAACAAATGGTTCTTTTGGCTGGTTCTGAAGTTCTGTAAATTATGTATTTTACTAAGGATTTTCATTTTTGTAATAATACAGTTAACAAGAGTACAGAAATCAATACTTTTAGAATAGAAGAAGATGAGAGGAACTTGCAAATTCAGAAAATATATCAAGCTTGTTCACAATCAATGTCTCAATGATTGTGACACATTTGCAATCAATATGGTGTAATTTACCAGACAGGCACATTTTCCCAGGTGTGTTTTGCCCACAAAATATACAGTTAATTAACTTTACTGAATATTCTGTGAGGAGCTTTGAGACGATTTGAAGACGTGAAGGCGCTATCAAAGCAAGGATTACTATTTTTATTAGTAGTAATAGTGATGTGGGATGAAGGCATACACAGCAGAAAGATCCAAATTCTACGTCTGTGCTGAGTTGATCAGTCTCAACTGGAGTAGAAGTGGGACCACTGCAGCTGGCCCCCACATTGATGCTCTTGATGCTCTGGATTTATTATTTAGTGACTGCTGATGGAAGTGTGCCAACAACAACTTGCATTTATATTGCACCCTTCACACGGGGCAGCATCTCGGAATGCTTAATCCTTGCATTTGATATAGCACCTTATCACATTGTTGAGACTTCTCAAAGCGCTTCATAGAATGTATACTATAAAGTGAATTGATTGAATATTTTGTGGGTGAAATGCAGCAATCAATTGTGTACAGCAGTATACCACAAACAGTCATGAATTGAATGACTGAATGATTGAATGATTTTATTTCAACATTTGTAACAGGATAGCATCTGACAAAACCATGATGGCCACAGACTAACCTTCACTATCCAGATTAACACATGATGAATGTCTATTTGGGCAAGATACAGGAATGCAGCCACCATTCCTATGTCATTGTAAGCTGAACTGGCTCCAAGGTGACATGCCTGGCAATAGAATGTTGGAATTGAGCCATCCCTCTGTGGTGGTCTCGGTAGTCTGGTTCCTCAGCCTGGCGGATCCGCGGGATTCCAGGGGACTGCTGATGACAGCACAGCCAGCCTGGCTCATCAGTAGGACCTGGAAGAACAGACCAGTCACTGGGGATAAGGAGTCATCCCACTCAGCTCTAAGCTAAAGCCCTAGTGGCTGTGGTGGTCCTAGCTGGACAAGCAGTGGGAAAGCTTGCCAGACCGCGATATCAGTGGGAAGCTATACAATTTTAGCTGGTTAGACACCAGCACTACCTCAACTCACACTTTGGGGTCCCCAAGACTTGGCTCTTGCCAACCTGCACCTAACACTTTCCAGAATTAGGTAAGCAGGATATGTCCCAGGGAGAGAGTGCGCATGCCGTACCAACAATCTATCTCTGGAATTTCCATGTGTAGGTGGGATGCGCAGAAACCTCAGCTTGATCTGGATACTCTTAAGCAATCGTGATGGATTTCTGCATGTGTCAGACACCCACCCGGCTGACCAAAACAAAATGTCATGGTACCCAGCGTGAAACCTCTCGCTGCCAGTGTTGCTGTTGCCAAAGGACTGTGCCATTCCAGTGACACAGGTACTGGCCTAATTCAGTTGCACAAGCGGGAACATCATTGGCAGCAGTCTGAGGCTTTGATCAGTCTCGGGCCAAAGCCAAGGGATGTTAACACCCAAAAACAGTCAATAACGACAAACTGTTTTGGAATCACAATTATCAGTGATGTGATTATTAGCACCTGCAATAATTATTACATCAAGTCTCATTTTCACACCCCATTTCACTCCAGTTTCCAAGGTTAAGGAGCTGTTTTCTATGTATGGATTGTTTTTCAGATATTCCATCCATTACATATGCCCAGAGCGCAGATGTTGCAGTGGGACGTTCTGGGATGCTGCACTGTGAGGTTTCAGCTGTCCCACCAGCAGAATTTGAGTGGTACAAGGAAGACAAGTGGTGAGTGTTATAATAAAATGTTGATTAACATTATCTGGAACAACACTATGTTAGCACTTTGTAATCAAAGGATAACTGTCTGATTTTCGACTTAAGGGAAAGATCTGTACACTTCCTGGCATATCTCAGTTGACCCCATATGTTGGTTTAAAAGAAGTAGTTAAAACAGCCTCAGAACTTAAAAATGAGATTGTGTTTCTGTTGAGAATTCTAGCTGATGGGCCAACACCCTCAGTGCAGAAAACCATTAAGTTTAGAAGGAGAAGAGAAAGGTCGAGAAATAGTTGTTAAGTGATGGCAAGAGTGGGAGAAGACTCAGGTAAGGGGTTCCACAGTCTTGAGGTTCTGGGGGAAAAAATAGAGAAGGAATGGGACTACTACAGCAACAAAATTACATTTGTATAGCGCCTTTCACGTGGGGAGGATGTCCCAAAGTGCTGGACAGACAGAGTTACGGACCCGAGCTGAGGGTCGGGGTGGGGGAGGGGGGAGGGCAGTGGGGGAAGCAGTGGGATAATAAGTAATAAGCACAGCCAAAGAGGAGGGTCTTGAGGTGGGTCTTGAAGGTGGCAAGGGAGGGAGTGAAACAGAAGGACTGCGGGACGGAGTTCCAGAGGGTGGGTGCAGAGTGGAGGAAGGGCAGCCCGCCGATAACGGGTCGAGCAATGCAGGGGACATGAAGCAGGCCGGAACTTGTTGAGCGGAGGGAGCGAATAGGGTGGTAGGGGGTTAGGAGGTCGGAGAGGTAGGGGGGAGCAAGACCGTGGAGGGCTTTGAAGGTGAGGACCAGGATTCAACTGTATCCTCTGTGTGATGGGAAGCCAGTGGAGTTGGGCGAGGATGGAGGTGCTAGGATCCCGGAGCCTAAAGCGGGAGAATACACGAGCTGCAGAGTTCTGGATTATCTGCAGCCCTTGGAGGGAGGAGTTGGGGAGGCCGACAAGCAGTGAATTTGCATAGTCGAGCCTCGATGTAATGAAGGCTTGTATGAGGGTTTCGGCGGCCTGCTGTGTGATACAGTACCAGAGGTGGGGGACGTTGCGGAGGTGGGAGAAGGCAGAGCGGGTCATGGTGCAGATGTGGTTATTATATTATCAAGCTGTACAAAGCTCTGATTAAGGTACATCTGGGTTCTTACGTACAATTCTGGTCACCACATGACTTCATGACTTGCATATCCATTCCTTTTTTTATGATGAGGATTACGTACCAAATCAGATGACTATTTAAGTTACTTTTTAGATATTGTCTTATTTGCTCAAGTTCTCTTGAAGGAGACGGATAAAACTTGCCTGCGCCTCCAGCACAGATGAGTTAATGAGACCAGGAAACTGCTTGAGAAAATACCCATATTGGGCCTACACAGTGAATATTTATAAACATTTAAATTTTATTTACAGCTATTTTCATTTCTCCTGTGGTATCGCTCAGTCCTGTAGCTCAGTGGTTAGAGCACTCGCCTTGCAAGCGAGATACTTGGGTTCAATTCCAGGCAGGGCGTAATCTTGGCCAAGTTTCCTTACTCCACATGCCTAATAATAATCCCTCCAAAACAAAACAATAATAAATTGGTCATTTTCAATCCACGAATGTTTGTGAGACACTGCTGTGCGCAATTGGTGCCGTGTTTCGTCCTCAAATATATGTCAATTCACTTTACAGCATATTCTGTGAAGCGCTTTGAGACGTCTAGAAGGCGTGAAAAGCACTATATCAAATGTAAGGATTATTATTATTATTTAAATGTATGATTTCCATCCAAATTATTTAAAACTGCCTCAGAGGGTCTAACACATGGGACTCTGGTAACTAAAAATATGTGCAGTGTAGACCAAAAAACACAGATATCAGCTTCTAGTCACAACAAATCATTCAACCTAAAAAAATCTGGCTTGGAAACAAAAACTGCCAAACAGTTTTGAAGGATTCATCTTACTTGTTCTAAAATGTCCCATGTTAAAATTACTGACCCAGACTGATTCTGTTGCTGGTTAGCTGCATGCCTTCTGTAAGCTGGTTCCTAGAGCAGCCAGGGGCAACAGGTGCTGCATTTCACTTACTCTCTTTCCTGGCTGCAAATAAATAAGCCACCATAACGAATTGCACAGAAGAGAAAGGTAAGGGAACCCAAGGGAAGAGAGCAATGTAAATAAGTGCAAGGAAGGTGAATTCATGCAGAAAAGTAAATCCACTCAGTATCGTATCTACAAGGCATACTCAAGAACAAGTAAGAAAGGTTTCAGAGCTCGTAAGAGCTCCCTTCACAAAGTGATGTCTACGGTAAACTGATGACCTCGAGGTGGGACTGATATTTATTTTATTTCACGGCCCCACTATAATGCAGTGTACAATTTTTGGGATCTAGGTATCTCTCTACATGCCCTGTCTGTTCATACAAATGTGAATACACAAATCATATGTGTCGATGATGCACCCGATAAATGTTTTCTAATTTGTGGCATTTCTTAGACTAATTGCTTAATAAGGAATCCATGTTATGCAAATGAGTGGACATCTTCCACTAACCAGAAGTACATCACAATGGATAAATGGAGCTCTTTTCTGATACTATCTCCTGCCGAAGTGGAGTTTTTGCAAATCGACTAGAATTAAAAAATGGCACAATTTAGACGCTATACCCAGAGGTTGTTCTTATCAGGAGACACACACATGTGTGCTACTATGCTACTAGCTCACACGTATGCAGACACACACACAAAGCAAACATATACACTCCGACTTCAGAAGACATATGTGCATATGTGTGTGTGCTTTTCCAGTGGAGCAAAGACAAATAATAATCTTATGCCAGGATTTCATCAAACCAGCAATAAGTCCATAGGCAACAGTCGTCATTCTATAACGTTGACATCCACGCACATACACACACACACATATATATATGTATACATATATACTCCATTTGCCCAATTAACAGATTCCTGATGGACTGTTCTCAGAAAAATTAATTATTCATAATTTAGTTGGTTACATAACTGCAGATTTTACCAGACTACAGATGTATTTAACTAGTTAAGGAAGTGAGCAATGTAAATATTTTCTCTTCTCAATTAATAATCATGAAACAACTTGCATTTATATAGCGCCTTTCGCGCGGGGTTGTGTCTAGGAGCGTTTTACAGCCAACCACCACTGAAAACCTTAGCAACATTCCCCAAACTCTCAATAACTGCACATAATAAGTAATAAGCACAGTCAATTAAATGTGCATAATAATTAACAGGACTCATCAGTTTTGTGTGCACAGAGTAAGTGATGGGCCTTGTCAGTTGCATGTTGTAATAAGCACCAGGCCCCTTCTGTGACAATTAAATACTGTATTTATGTTACAGAAATAATTATTTTAATGAAATAATAATAAATTACATTTAATAAGGTACCCGAAACATCAAAACTTTTCACAGCACTTCAAAGGTAATTGTTGTCAAGTGCAGTGAGTCCAAATTTCTAGGCAAATATAGATATCAATTTGCACACAATGTCCCACAAGCAGTTATAAAGTGAATGACCAATTTTATCTGGTCAGGACACCAGGAGAATCCCTTCTCTTTTTAAATAATGTTATTCTATCATTAACATCCATTTGAACAAGCGGGCAGGATCTTGGTTTAATGTTTAGATCCAAAACAGGCACTTTAGCAATGCACAACTTACCCCAAACTAAAATGGCAATGAGATTTGCGACTTCAAACACAAGAGCTGCTATAAAAACTGCACTTTACACTTCCTTACCAAAATTTGCATGTCTGCGTAAATCACTCCCCACAGTTTCACTTTGTATCATCAAGTATAGTCTACATCAGGGTGGTCTAACTGACAGCCCGCAGGCCAATTTCATCTGCCCCCCCCCCTCCCACCCTCCATTTCAACTGACCTATCTGCTCACTAACCCGTAAATCTTATTTTCTGTCTCTGGAAGGGAAACACAAAAATATTACTGATGTGGCCCACGGAAGTTTCTCAATTAGGGCATCTGGCCCTCAGCGACCAACATGTTGAACCACCCTGGTATATATATAATATATTAGAAAACTGGAATTTTGGTTTGAAGAATATAAACGCGTTTGTTTGTTATGTTTCTTGTCTGTCCTTCTTTCTCCTCAGGATATATAACGCTTCACAGGGCATCCAGATTCAGAACTTTGGCAATCGGTCCATTCTCGTTGTTTCTAATGCTACTGAGGATCACTATGGCAACTATACGTGTGTGGCAGCCAACAAGCTTGGGATCACCAATGCAAGCATATTTCTATACAGTAAGTCTTCTTTCAGTTTTACATTCTTTTATAAAATCAGTGGTACTATTAGAGCTACACAATTACAGTAGATGGAGCAGAATTTTGAATTCCACATTGTTTCCTCATTTTCTTTAACTCGTGGAAAATCATGGCATTCTACTTCATCACAAATGGAGAAAAACAGATGTGCTTTGCCTCTCATGCAGCAAGAATATTTATTGTCAAATAAAACAGTATTGATCTTGGTCATTGAAAAGTAAGTGAATGCCCCAATCATGTCTGAAGGTTACTATGTGTGCCATTCATATCATGAAGCAATGAATAATCTTGCCTCTGGAAGTATTTACCACCATGTTCTTTTTTGATGCTTTCACATTGTGGTTCCCGAGGTTGGAATTTCAGCGCCAAACTGCTAGTCCTGCCATGGTTAGAGACTTTGGTTACATTATCTGCAGATTTCCAGTTGGAGAAAACATCACAAATTTAATTAATTTGTTATCTCCCCTACTCAAATAACATTCAACTGAATATTTCACGACTTTCCTCCTGGCTTATTTTCAGTTCCATAGTAGTTTATTTGGGTAGCGGAGATAGCAAAATACATTTCTATTGATATTTAGTGTATGCACAAACAACTGATGTCATCCTGACACATATATGATGGCATCAGATATTTGCACATATACAGATGTCAGGGTCCCTCAAGTACCGTGAATATTTGTTATAGAGTTGGGTCTCTTCTCTGAAGGGAAATTTCAAGTCTAAGCAGCATTTTTAATGGGAGACTACAATACTTAAGCAGGATTTCCCCAAATTCAGCATGTCTAGTTTTTGTTGTAATTTGCCACCTACCTTATAAGGCAAACCCAAAATGTAAAAGTGCCATAAATGGGTCCCATTTCTGGAACCAGCAGTGCCAAACATATCAAAATAAATATTGAGACTGCATGCCTTTCTGATTCAGCTCTTGGCCTACCTATTCAGACCAGAAATATGAGGGTAGGGACTGACCTTAGCCAGACAACTGAATGATGCCTCAGAAGCAATTGCACATGGTTAAGTGTCAAATGAACAGTTGTTTTTATGTTGCAATAAATAATGTGGTTTCAATCCCAAGCAAAGGTGAATAAACCTGTGGCATCTGCCTTCGAGGACAATACAGTATGCAGACAAACATAACCAAGCACTCACTGTGTGTGTTTGTATATTGTGGGAAGTGGGAGGGGGAGAGGAGAAGATTTGAAAGAGAAGTGGAAGAAAACTGTGAGTAAAACCATTTGTGGTTTGTGGAGTTTGTGGTCGACTTCCTGAAAGAAATATTTCAGGGTCGGAAGTGCACCATACAATTTACTCTATTTATCAAGAATCCCCTTATTGTTAAACTCAGGAACCACATTGTTGGGTGCTGCAGAGAAGCTGGCAACACAATTAGTGCCCAAAAGACAAGGAATGAATTCCCACCTCACTGCTGCACACTTATCTCAACCATAGTTACCCGAATAATAATTAGCACTCTTCCTTGCAATCTTGACTTTTTTAGGTACCTAAATTATTTAAATTACATTCCTTGTCAACCACTCAGAATTGATAAAGATCATTAAAACTTAACTGGTCCAATAGTTACTGGTTTCTGTACAAAGATTGTTGCTAAAGAAACTTACCTGCCAAATTGATGCATTTTGAAGGTGTTTTACTTTTCCTCCGAACTATGACCGTACCGATTTTGTGCCTAAAAATCTGGATTTGTTTATAGGAGTGAATTTAATTGTGTTCTATAATGCATTCCATATGATAATTATCATAAGGACCACTTTATGAAAAACGCTCCAACATTCACCCACAGGTTCAAATAATAGCTGAAAGAAATGGACACAAAAAAGTCTATTTAAAACAAATCAGTAACTGTGAGTTCAGCAATGAAATGCTCGCAGGAACAATGGTTGGAACTCATTGTTCATATACTTCTTCAATTTCTTTCCGTTTCACTGTCTTAGTTGTGGAACTTTCTACAGTTTCTGATATGCATGGTTACGTAAGCAACATAATTTTTGCAGTACTACTTCTGATGCCAAGGGTTCAAAATATTTTTTTTTATTGACTGTTGTCATCTGAGGAAATGCAAACAGTGATTCTTCCGCTCTCAATAATATTCTCCTAATTAGACTAGTTTGGATACACATTTTGCACAATTACATCTGATTTTTTTTCCCTCCAGTATATAATCCATTACAAGGAATGAACATTTCCTACATTCCTGTCAATCAGATTCTTGTCTCCCAGTGTAAGAGTTTTTAATTGGTCCTGTTACATTACAATTCAAAACAGAAATGAAAGCAGTATCTAGATGAAAGATAAAAAGGGAAAGCAGAAATAATGAGGAGCATTTCTGTCAAATATTGCCAGAATCAGAGCACTTCTCCAACAGTGATGAGAAGTCTTGTTTGTTTGGGTGTGACAATTGATAGTACTGGAGAGTGTGATCTTTTCTTCCCCCCACCCCCCAGCAGCTTGCTTCTGTTGCAGTTAGAAGTAGCAGTTGACTCTGCTTGCACCAGTGGAACTCTTCTATCAATGGATACTCAGCCGAGGCAGCAATGGGACATTATTTAAATAGAATCATATTTTTTTTCATGAAAAGAAGTCAGTGAATCTTCTGGAGATTTATTACTGATCCGCGCACATCAAGCACAGCCACTTGAACCAAGTTCTTCACATTTGTGCCTTTGGAATTAGTCTCAGGGTCAGTCACCACTTTCAGCAAAGGAATGGAGGAGAAAGGGAAAAAATGAAGAAAAGAAAAATGAACCAAATGCCTAATAGTTCTCAACGAGGTGGAAGATAACTGCTGGGTACTACATTAGGAGCAGATTGCACTTCATCTTGGGCTGAAATTGCCAAAATTCCTTTCACGTGTTAATCTCACCGATGAGAGATGATCTTTTGAGTTGGCCAGTGCTGTGCTGATTTTTAAACATGGTTTTCCTGGACAAAGGGCAATGTCAGAGCCTGCTGCTTTAGCCCGCTGCAGTCACCCAACCCAACCACAACCTGTCACTTTTTGATGGAGCATTTCATCAGCATGTGCACTTGCTCACTGACGGGCAGTTCTCTAGTGAATACATGATAAGGTACTAATGCTTAAAATGGTCATACCTGAACACCCTTCAGTGATTGTTTTGCTGGCAGCTTGCCACTCATTTCCAGGACTCAAATACTACAGTCACCTGATAAACCAGAATTCAGTTTCTAAAACAGCACATGTTCAGACTTTAAAGAAAATACCTCTGAAAAACTTGGCTTTAAAATTATCATGGGTATCGCTTTTTAAAATTACTTTCAGTTTTGTATCTTTTTATCAATTCAAAATTGTACCAATAAGGAGGTGCAGCAGTGTCTGACTACATTTTCCCCACATAAGTATTTCTCAGATTATGGTATTGATAGTCTGAGCTAAAGACTGATTTTCAAGCAGCTTAAATTGACTCATAGCAGATTAAGAAAACCTTGTGGGGCCACTTTTATATTTGATATTCTGCAGGTGCAATCTTGCTGTCATTTGCACTAAAATGATTCTTGCAGCTATTTTTAAATATATGTTTTGGGTTGTTACAAAGAATGGTTCTAATCAGAATGTTCAGATTGATTTAAACGTAGTTTAAATTTTAGGGACCAAGCTTAACATCTGTACATTGTTGGAGGATGGCAAAGATGTCTGAAAAGTCCAATATGTTATTGGGCCATTTTGTATTGATTTTATCTAAGTACATACATAGTTGTAGAACTGGTCTTGATTAAAATGTAGAAAAATATTCAATTGCAAAACATGGGGTGCTAGACTTGTGACGCCTCAAACCTGGGCCAATTACATTTCCATTGTCCAATGCTTTATAGGCAGATCCCAGATTCAATCTATCTAACAATTTCACAAAATCACTATAGATTCAGATAAGAAAAGCATGTGGTTTATTTGATATAATCCTTCCAGAATACCCACCCAGCCTTCTTTCATCATAATATCAACCTGTTGCTTTAATGAGTTCAGTTTTCTTAGTAGTCTGTTCTGTGTAAAGAAATACTTAATGGGGTTTGGACTGAAATTGTCATTTACAGCCCTAAAGCTGTGTTCCCTTGCCTTGGTGTATCTGAAAGTATTTGTCCTGGACTTGCTTTCTTGATTCTATTTAATGGCTCCTTGGATGAAGTACAAAAGTATGAGTTGTACCTGGGAAACTGTAATCCAGTAAGACGTCAGCACCTGAGGAGGAACAAAGTTGCAGCAGCTAATCGCTAAATTGTTGAGAGAGGCATTTTATGTTTTGCAGCTTGAGGTAGCATTGTCACATTATCCACGTGCTGTGCTTAGATAGACAGCACACACATGTAACTTCAATGTGTTCTAGGTATAGGGCAAATTGAGATTTGTGATTTATGAATGACTGCCTCCTTGATGACATCTAATGCATGCACAATAAGAGGCGTTTATATACTTTAAAGCCTGATTGGAGAGAACACAGATTTTATCCCTGCTTGACAGATAAGCATTGGAAAATAAATATTACACACCAAAATAGTAGAACCAGCTGTACAGTCTACAATTTGCTTAACACAAATTTACCCGTTTCAAAATTCGATAAAAATGGTGAGCACTAGGGTCTGAAAAAGAACAAACCACTTGCTTAGAGGTGTGTTGCAATCTAATAAACAGTAGTTTATGCCAATGTTAGTTTTGAAATGCCCAAACTTTACCCCATGGAATCATTGAAAGTATAGTACAGGAAGAGATGATTTGATCTAAATTAGTGTTACAGCAAAAAAAGTTGCACTTACATAACACCTTTCACATAGGATAATGTCTCATTGTTTACACTTGTCAATTGTACAGAAATGAGTGGAAACGCAGCAAGAGGAGAATTGGAGGGATTTGAGTGATGGTGTTCTGGAAGAGCTAGGTTTTCAAAAGAGTTTTGAAAGTAGAGAGGGAGGTAACAGAGAAAAAGAATGTTTCAGAGAACGGAGTT